GTAAAATTGGTGAAAGAAACGTGTAAGAACTGGTGAAAAAAAACTTGCTTAATATATTTTGGACTGAAAATTTCATGACTCATAACAATTTTTCAAGCAATTCTCCCATGTTATCTATCAGCCCATAATTTGTTGATATATTTAAATATCCATTAGATAATAAAACTGCAAGATACTTACTGTGTATGTTTTTTACATCCCTGAAAAGTAAATAATGAATGGTATAAGTCATTTTACATTGGCAGCTTTATAATATTCTGTATATTGCTAGCTAATAAAATCTGTATAAGGACATGAAACTTAACTCATTTTATTCCTAAAATTGGGAATTCTGGTGTCACATAGCATTTAAGCATTCTGATTTGATTATCTTATACCTCTAAGTAATACTTCTTATTTTTTAAATGAGAAGTATTGTTCATATCCTATTAACAATGTATTTCCAATTTTTATTGGGTCTTATAAAACGTCATAGTAATTAGAAAGATAATAACATCACTGTGTTCTAGATACTGAGCTCGATATTCTTACCATATTTCATTTCAACCTCACACCTTCCAATTATTCGGATGAAAACCCAAGGTTTAGATTTACAGTAACTAGTTTCAGGTCCTAAACATATAACGCAGGTCTATCTGTGTGAAAAGTTATGAATTATTAAAACAGCTAATCAATTAATTTTTAAAGCCTCATAAAACCAATGTAATGAGAGTTTTTTCCAAATTGTTTTGTAAGAGAACTGTAAGTTTTTAAATATATTTTAGAATAAAAAGCTTTAAGAAAAACACATATAACCTGCTTTCTAAATATTTTTACTAACACTGATTTCTTTGTGGGATAAATTTAGAACCAAGATATGAGGTCTATCTTGAAAAAGTCCAACCATTGTTAATGTAGCAAATATGGTTTATGCGACATCAGTGTAATCTGACAGCCAAGGAGAGTGGACTGGAATGCACATGGGTGAACAATGACTACTTCACTGTACTAGTCAGTGGGGGCAGTAGATGCCATTGAGTGAGCATGTGTACTGTGCGGCCATCACATTCAAAATGACTGAACAAATAGAGGAACAAATATGCATCAATTTTTGCATTAAGCTTGAACATTCCTCCATGGAAACTGTTCAGATGATTCAGAAGACCACAACTACAGGTAACTGGTGATTGGCAGCTTCATCACAACAATGTGCCCACTTACGCATCACATCTTGTGCAGAGTTTTTTGGTGAAATGCCAAATCACCCAGGTGACTCAGCACCCCCTACAGCCCAAATTTGGTGCCCAGAAACTTCTGGCTTTTCCCAAAACTAAAATCACCTTAGAAAGGGAAGAGAGGTCAGATCATTAATGAGATTCAGGAAAAATACAATGGGGCAGCTGATGGCAATAAGGAGAACTGTGTGAGGTCTCAATGTGCCTGCTTTGAAGGGAGTGAGGTGTCATTGTCCTATGTACAATGTTTCTTGTATCTTGTATCTTCTTCATAAATGTCTCTATTTTTCATGTTACATGGCTGGATACCTTCTGGACAGACCTCATATTTTGAAAGCTTAATATCCCAATTAAAATAGAAAAATACTACTGAATTGAGAAATAACATATTTATAGTTATAAAACATTATCTAATTCTTCTACATACCAGAAAACTCCATGATGCTCAAATTTGGTGTTTGTCTGTAGAAAATCACTTGGGTATTTGATCCACTCTCAATTCAGAATAGTTTTTCATATTTTATTTGAAATCTCCGAAGACTCATCTGAAATTCTCAAAAGCTTAGAGGACACTTATGTGAGAAGAAGAAGCACCTCTCAGCTATTGTGTGAAATCTTAAGAAGACATATTAGTGTGAGCTGTTTGATGAGTAGCAAACTTAAAGTCTTCCACTGAGATTTTCCCCTGATTATCAAATTGACATGACAAAACTGAACTCTATAGGAACATATTTATTGAGAAGTCTATATAGCTCTTACTTTATAGCTGTAGCTCTTACCAAAGTCCTGACCTATATGCATTGAAAAAGTGTAAATGATGAAGTGTAAAGTAGAAATGGTCTCTTTATTTCTGTTTATAGCAAAGCCTATTCTGTTTAACTGATTCAACATAATTTTCATGTTAAATGCATTGAATTCGAAGTTAAAATTAAGGAGTTCCCAATTATTATATTCAATACTTTTACTAAAAGGAGCAGTACATTTTAATGGAAACAGAAAAACTGACATAGGTATAGAGCTGTCAAAAAAAAAAAAAAAAGAAAAAGCAATGAAACTGGTTTGATACCAGCTGCTTTTAGTAAGTGCATGCTGGTTATTAGAGATCAGTATTTCCTTGTCTATGTTCTCACAATTAACATCTCTACTTTGAATATGAAATCTTGCCCAGATACAACCACCCGCAAAAATGTTACAGGAAACCAAAATATAATGTACAAATTCACAAAAATAGATTTAAAAATAGAGAAAAAAATAGAAAAACTGATAATATCAAAGTAGTCGATGAGAGACTAGAAAACTAACACATGCATACTTTGAAATATGTCTTAGGACCACATACTTTCATCTCTTCTCCCTCACAGAAATTCAATAAAGTGACAGTAAAAGGCATAAAAAGCTATAAAACTACAAGAACCAAGAGAACAAAAGAATACAAAGAGTCAATAAAACTATCATATGGATGATGAAAAGTAGATGGCTTAGTAAAATCTAGGAATCTATAACCTAAGAGTTTACAAAATGGAATATCAACAAGAAGTGTGCCAATATACCCCACAAGAACCTGGAAAAGATCAGGACATAGAGAAACCAGGATATGTACAAGGTAAAGATGATGCCTTTCTGTTAAAGCAGGAGCATTAGTTAAAAGGGCATATACAGAAGAGTTAGACCCCAAGTATCTTCTCATCCTAGACAAACAGTCAATGCCCTTTGTCCCCACATGCACACAGAAACGGAGGAAAATAAAATTCAATTCAGTGCAGAAATAAAATCTGAGGGAAACAGACTTCTATGTACCAGGCACTGCAAAGAATAGGGGTGAAGAAAGCAAAATAAGAGGACTAAGTGATATCCTGAATATGAGACAGTAAAAACTTAATTCCTGTCTCCCACACTGCTCCAAAAAATAAGACAATAAGAAAGAGCACTAGGAAATTGAAAATACATTGAAAATAAAATTTTGATGGTAAGATAAAAATAAAATTTTGGAATCTGCCATTAAGGAAAACAAAAAGGCATATGTGGACAATAAGCTAGAAAAGCTGAAAATTAGGTGATCAGACAAAGGAATCCAAATTTTCATTGGTAGAAGTTCTAGGAACAAACAGCAGAGAAAATGCAAGGAAAGAAACTGTTAAAGAAACAAAACCAAAAAAGTTTCCCAGGATCCAGGATTTCAAGTTTGGAAGAAACAAATAAGAAGCTCACACTTAAGACATGTAATAATAAAGTTAGAGAGAACTGAAATAAAAGGCAAATATGTAAATGTTTCTAGGAAGAGAAACAAAGACATACAACCAATAAAAAATTTTATGATTTGCAAAAGAATGCTTATGGTATCTTTATTCATGAAAGCAAAGAAACTAAAAACACTCCAAATGTCCATTATGTTCACCAATATAGTATAAATTCTGGCAAATAAAAAATTGAGTTACTGCTACATGCAAATATATATATACACACACATATATATATATATATATCTCAGACACATAATGTTGAGAATAAGCCAAATATAGAAAATTGTGTACTATAGAATTTCACTTATATTATGTTCAAAACAAGAATAAGGCAGAATGGCAGTTAGGTTTAGAGGTCAAGAATGACTTACTGTGAGGGACACTGGGAGCTTCCTGAAGTGGTGGAAAGTGTTCCTTTACCTTGATTATAGTAGTAGGATCTTTTCCATGTGTAAAAATCCTACAATATTAGTGTATTTCATATAGGATATACCTCAATTAACTTTGTTTTTGAAAATGAACAAAAAAATGAGAATTGCATTAAATTTCTAGATAGCATCACTGAAAACAAGATTGACTAATTTGTATTCAAAATCCTGGAGGAAAACAATCGCCAACTTAGAAGCCTATACCTATCAAAACTATCAATTTATAGAATATATTAAAAGCTTCAAATATTACTTTTCTTTTTTACTCCTCACCCAGGGATATGTTGATTGATTTTCAAGAGAGAGAGAGAAAAGAAAAAAAGAGAGAGAAACATCAATTGGTTATCTTCTCATACTACCCCGATCTGGGATCAAACCCACAACCTAGGTATATGCCCTGACCGGGAATAAAACCCATAAACTTCTTGTGTACAGGATGACATTCCAACCAACTGAGCCACCTGGCCAGGGTCATATTACTTTTCATGTACCATCCTTAGAAAAATCAGAAGGATGTGCCTCAAAAAAATTAAGTAATGAAGCAAAAAAGAGAAAGGTTCAAGATCTAAGAAGTGGGATCAATTTAGAAGGAAGCTAAGGAATTTCCCAAAATGACTGAAAAGTGCAGTGTCAAAATGATTGCTAAGGAACAGGTCTAGGCTGTGCTGTGGACCTGGTTAGGATAGGGGGGTGGGAGAAGGAGCAAGGAAATTGAAGAGAGATTTTTTCTGATGTGTTGATCACAGAGCATGGAAGATAATTGGCAATAGGTGAGCAAAAGGCTAAGCAAAAAATTGTTTTAATGAGGCAATCATCATATTCTCTTTTCCTCATCACAAGAAAAAACCTGGAAAGAAAACAAATCATACTGTACAGCCTGGATCAGGAGTGAGAAATATTTAAACACTGAACATTGACATATGTTCACAATTTAAACACTGAACATTGATTAAAATGAAAAAATATAACCACATTGGTAAGGTAAGCAATGAGAAAATAAAAGGGCATGCAAGAGTTAACTCCTGATCTATCTATTAACCATAGACAATCAATAGGTAGTAACTAAAATTAATGAGTAAAAAGGATAGTTTAAGCAGACCATTACAAAATATTCAGATATATTTACCTGGCCAGGGAGATGCCATGATCGCAAAGGTAGTTTTCGCAGGGCGAGACTTATCCATTGCTCTCCGAATGGGCTGACCCCTGCGATTTCCCCAAATGTGGGGAACTCGACGGCATAATTTGTGGTAGCGGGGGACTGCGTTCTTGCTCTCCCCTGGAAAAAAGGAGGAAAAGAAATACTAAGATACACAGAAAAATTGGAAGTAGTTGCCATGGGAAACATGCCTAAAACATGGTGAAAAAGAATTGATGTTTTTTTTTTGGTTATTGGCTTTTTGGTACTGTTTGCCTCTTAAAATGTTAATAGTTATTAGAAAATAAATATAAAAATAAAAAGGTTAAACCAATGTTTTGAAAGATGTAAAGAGAGTTTTACTAGATGGTTTTATGGGTGAGTCATGTATAAATTATTTGAACAAATCTTTCTTTTATTATTTGAACTATTTCCACTATTACTTCAACGATGTTATTTGAATTATTTCAATACAATAAAAAATATAGTAAGCTTTTAAATTTATCCTGATACAAAAACCTCCAAAAGAAAATTATAGAAAATTTTAATTATAAAGTTAGATACAAATTTGAAATAAAATATTAGCAAATTTAATCCAGAAGTATACAGCAATAATGTACTATAACTAAGGAAGATTTATTCCAAGATGATTCAACACCAGCATTTGCTTTATTTCATTTAAAACTTTAAAGAAAAACTAATGTGATTATAACCTCATAAAATTGTGTTCAATAAAATTCAGCAGCCCATTCTTAATTTAAAAAAAAACAACATATAAGTCAAAGAATACTTTCTAAACAGAATAAAGAATATTTTTTAGTAATAGCAAAGGTACTAAAAGAATTACGATAGTGAAATCAGAAATTAGAACACGGATACCCATTAAGCAACATCATTATTTAACATTGTTTTAGGGGTGCTGGCTAATTCAATAAAAAGAAAAAAGTTCTATAAACATATGAAAGCTATAGGAAAGAACACATCATAATTTGCAGCTAAGACTGTGTATCTAGAAAAATCTAAAAAACTCAAATTATCTTAATACTAATGATATGGTCACTAAAGTGGCATTAGGCAGCAGGACTTCATGGGTCTCATGTTACTGCATGGCTTACAAACTGAGGCACATACAGCTTTTGTTCCAGACTATCTTTTCAGGGATAAGTACATAGCAAACAGCCTTGGAAGACAGGGGTGGTATCTGTGGGACAGAAAGCAGGTTTGCTTAGCATCCACTAAAATAAAAATAACATCTCTCTCCAGAGCAAAGACAAGCAGGTTTGCTTGCTGCTCATTATAAAAACGTGGGTTCCCTAAGCTCAGGGCTGCTCCTCTGCGATGCAGACTCACTGCACGTGTGGCACCCACCCGAGTCGCTCCAGGTTTCCCCCATGGGACTTGGAGGGAAAGGCGAACCAAATGAACAGGAAGCTCATGCTGCTCGCTGTGCTGTGAACAATAAAGGCCTTTGTCTCTGACCCAGGAGCCAACACTGGCAAGACCATCAGCATCCTCCATGGTGGTGGCACCTGTGAGAAACAGGGACCAGGAGGCTAGCCATCAAGACAGCCAGCAAGGCACCCGTTTCTCCCTGGTTCTGAAGCTGTATCAGCAAGCCTCGAGCAGCCTGCTCTGTTCACAGAGCGGCATGGGAAACAGAGAAGCCAGCTTGTGGTAGGGAATCTCCAAATAAAACATGAGCACGTAGCAAGAATCAAACAATTTATAAAAACCAGCTCCCATACAGGAGAGATCCATTTTAGGAAAATAAAAAAGTACACCGAAGAAAACATTTTGTAAGGGGTTTAGGACAAATATACTGAAGAGCCTCACATTTGAGAGACTGTTTTTTAAAAATGAGACTGACATAGACCATCATGAATTTCAGGATGGTGCCTGGAAGGGCCCAGCATGAAATGAGTTCATCTTCCCCCTACAGAAAGGAAAGAGTAAACAGCCCTTGTTTGTCTTGGATATGTGTATTAGTATTCTATTGCCATTGCAATAAATTACCATACATTTAGTAGCTTAAAATTATAGCCATTTATTACCTCAAGGTTCCACAGTCAGGAGCGCAGATTGGTGTGACTGGTTTCTTTACCCCAGGCTTCATGAGGACAAAATCAAGGTGTTGACTGGCTAGGCTCTTATTAGGATGCTCCCAGTGACTCTGCTTCCACGCTGGCTCAGGGTGCAGGACTGAAGTTCTGCCTCCTTGCTGGCTGTCAGCGGGGAGTCAGACTTAGCGCCCAGAGCCTCCGTCAGCTCTTGCACACAGCTCAGTCCATCTCAGAAGCAGAAACAGTACATGGAATCCTTCTCATGGAATCTCTCTGCCTCGCTCTCTGGTCTGCCTTCCTCTTCTACTTTTAAAGGCTCAAGTGACTATATTGGACCCACCTGGATGATCTAGGCTCCTCTCATCTTACAGTCAGCTGATCAGTAACCTTCATTCCATCTGCAAAATGCCTTCGAAATAGCACCTACTTAGTTAGCATTTGACTGAATAGCTGGGAATGGGAATCTTGGGAGGACATCGTCAGAATTCTACCCAATACAACGTGCCTGAAAACAGTGACCAGAACTTTAAAAATTGGAGCAATAAAAGCCATTAAATTCCTACAGAGCATGACAAATGAGTCACTCAGGATTTTTATTTAATAAATCATAATCAGAATTGACCCACCATTGTTCATAATTTTCAAAGGCCATTATGAGACAATTATCATAATTTAAAATCCACAGCTGTATCAATAATTGGCGTGACCAGTGATGAAAAATTTCCAAATATTTCTTTATATATCTATGTATAAAGGACTCCTTAAAGATTTCAAATGCACATGTCCAGTCACAATCATTACCTATTTCTTAGATACAACTTATCTCCAAATTCTCCTTCCATTAGGTTTTGTAAGAGAGTTTCCAAGGATTTGATTACATTCAAAATCTTTGTAACACAAATCCAAGTATATTTTCAACCCAGTTCTAAACAAAAGTTAGCACATAGGGAAGAATGTAGACTCACTTTTCTCCACAAGGAATCTTCAGTGCAATTACAAACACACATATTAAGCACTAAATCAGCAAATATTTATTGACAACCCATGGAGCATGAAACAGTACCATTTCTAAGCATTTTGGATTACAAAGGATAGAGAAATAGATGGAGAAATTCTTTCTGCCATAAAAAAAATTACAAGGCAGGAAAATATATGATTAACATGAATAGTGTGTTCAAATACGTATCAAGACTTTAAAATGATCTAAGAAGGGTGTTGGGAAATGTTACTGTAGGTGGCTAAGGAAAAACGTCTACTAGGAAGAATTTTCTTCAGGTAGGTAAGTCCACAAACAGTTCTGAGTCAGATGAATCCCAGCTGTTTTCCGCCTGCTGAAGACTTATGGAGAAGGGGAGAGCCATGGAGAGGGGACAGCCTGGCTGATTTACAGCTCTTGGAGTCCGGCAGGAGAAGGAGGCCGCATGACGGAAAACGTGCAAGGCTATTATTAGAAGATTGAATTTGATTCAGAAGACAGTGGGGATCACTGACAGAGCTGGGAGAAATGGAGAGATACAATCAAGGCAGCAGGCCTGAAACAGAAGAATCACACCGTGCAAAATAACTTCAAAAGGCGGGATGCCGAGAGCAAGCAAGGAAGAGATGGAATAATCTAGTGACAATTTTTGCCAGTGGTCAAGGGATTCTGCTGTGTGACGGTGGCAGATGATCTGACGGTTCTGCATGGAAATGGCGAAAGCAGATGGACTTAGAAAGATGGAGATGGAATCAGAATGTGACGCTAGAAAGGCATCATGATCACCCTGTGGTTTCAGGGATGTTTATTTTGTCAGATGTTCAAGACTCTTCCCAACTCTGAGATAAGTTCCATTTGTTTATTTGATAGGTCTAACACATAAAGGGCTTTAACACTGTGTTGTCCCTATGCACGATCTACATTTTCACGTTCTAAAAAAAAAACAAAAACAACAAAAAAAAACTACTTTCCATGTATAATTCACACTTTTCATATCTAATTCTCAGGGAATCAGAGAAGTCTCAAAGTACGTGACTGCTAAACAGATACTGAAGAATGGATAGGAGGTACTGCCTCTTAGAGAAAAGATGTAATCAGACCTGAGAGTTAGAACAACCCTCCAGGCTGAATAGCAGACTGAATGAGGAAGACAGGATTGGTAGCTAGATGACTTATTAAGTAAAATCAGGGAAAATGGTGATGGCAACTTGAACTCTGGTAACAGCAGAGAGAATGGGGAGAAGCGATTGAATTGAGAGAAGGTCAGGAGACAGGTTAAATTTAATGGAACTTGATGGTTGGCTGAAAATGGAGAAATAGTGAAAAAAAGAGAGGACTATTCAGAATGAGCCCCAGGTTTCTGGATTTAACTACTGAGGTCAGTTCTGCTGTTGAGAAAGACTGGTGAAAAAATAATGAGTTTCACAAATGTTGAATGTACGATGTCGGTGCCCCATGCAAGGGAGCTGCTTTAGTTGGCCCTGCAGTGGGCAGTTGGCTGAACGGACAAGAATTCCAGAGAGAGGTCCAGGGTCTTGAGCGTAGAGACTAGGACTGATGTCAAAGGGGTGGACTCAGTCACACACATCATGAGTAGGAAGAGATGAAGACCCAGACAGACTCCTGCAGGACTAGTAGTTAAATATGCCATCTCTGTTCTGGGCAAGTGAGCAACAGGGAAGATAATGGATATTTCAGAGCAGGGTCATTGGCTTCCTCAGATGGCTTTCCTGGGGTTCCTAGTATGTGAAGCCCAAATGAGTTAATGCATTCATTCACCACCTACTTTTGTTCCAGACACCATACAGGGCCATAGGGAACATGCTCAAAACCCCCAAACTGAAGATGACCGTCCAAAGCGTAGGCCTCAAGACCGGTTTTATGAAGCTGTAAATTAATCTCGCAGTCAATCCAAAAGCCAAATTTCTCCTTGAGACTGATATTCTTAAAGACCATTCTGAATAACAAGGAACCTCCATTGTGGGTATAAAATGGCAATATACTTCAAGGTTTAGTTTGTAGCTAATTTATCAGGAGGCAGTATTATTTAAGGTTAACCATTCTGTGGGTGATTCAGTGTGGCTGAGGGAACTGATCAGTAACACTGT